GTCCCCTCTTCTCCATGTCTCTTCTACATCAACATGTGTCCCCTCTTCTTCATGTCTCTTCTACATCAACATGTGTCCCCTCTTCTTCATGTCTCTTCTACATCAACATGTGTCCCCTCTTCTTCATGTCTCTTCTTCATCAACATGTGTCCCCTCTGTGGAAAGAGACTCTGAAAGTTTCAGGAACAAAGATTCTCTCTCTTTTTGATCCATTTCTATAAAAACCTGTGAAAATGAGCTGATCAGATTTTGGCCACTTTATGATGTCATAACGATGTTTTGTCTTGTGTAACCATTAGCCAATCAGCAACCAAGGTAACCCCCCCCCCCCTTATCACCTGAATCCCCTCCTAGAGCACCATTGAGTTCTTTGTAACCAAATCTCTCTCAGAGGGGCGTGGGGAGGGGCTCCTTATTTTCATCTCAAGTCACAGACAGAGAATCAGCACTTTGGAAACAGGGCTGAAACAGAGGGGATTATGGGTAATGCTGCAATGATCTGTTTGGTGTTTCAGCCAATCAGAGACAGGCTCTGGATATATCTGAGACCTGTGATAAAGTAATGAAAAACAGTATGATAGGGGACCTTTTTAAATCTTTAGTGATTTGTTGAAATGAAACTTGTGTGTGCAGATCTGCTCTCTCTGGATCAGAGTAAAACCTTCTACAAGCCCGACTGGTTCGACATCGTCGGGTCAGAAGTGAAATGCTGCAAAGAGGCCGTCTGCGTCATCGACATGTCCTCCTTCACTAAGTTTGAACTGAGTGTGAGTCACGATGGACAACTTATAATAAGAGCTGCGTCTGATACGCACTTTCCTTATCCATTCATCTGCAGATGATTTAGTAGGTTAACTATCTGGTCTCTTAAAGGTCAGGACATGGGGACAACACGTCCATCCATGTTTGAAGTCCAAGTTAATGACTTTATTTTTATTTTTTTACAGTTCAAAACCCAAATATATCAACTTGAATATGATTAACAACTTTAAAAAGTAGCATATCTAAGTATTTGAGCTGGAAACTGCATGTTCTTTTAACAATAAAATGATTTAGGTTTTTACTTTATAATGTCCACTACTGTTATCCCCAATATTTGAATCACTCATGAAGTGTGATAATATCATTTAATAAACCATTGTTCACCACTTCCAGTGTGTTGCAAGGCTCCTGGCTCTCCTTAAACCCTTTAAGTAAAGCAAAATGATCTGCATATTTGAGAGGCTGTGAAAACATTTCCAACTCTCCGTCAGTCCACACATTTTAAAATAACCTTTTCAGCTCTACTTGTAAATACTGCAGCTGCACGTCCCTCTTGTGTTAAGCTTGTCTTTCCCTCATGCATGGCTCATTTTGTCACGCCCAGTGAGTGTTTCCATGTGCCTGAACTTAGCCGGAAAGTTTTAAAATCACCAGCTGATGCCATTGTTGTGATGTTGTAACCCTGAGGCAGCAGTTACTGTATGAAGTGATTAAAGACGCTCCCTCTTTTCTGCCCTGATGTTTCAGTCCACCAACGACCAGGCTCTGGATCTGCTGCAGCACCTGTGCGCCAACGACCTGGACGTCCCCGTGGGACACATCGTCCACACCGGCATGCTGAACGAGCGGGGGGGCTACGAGAACGACTGCAGCGTGGTGCGCGTCAGCAAGAACAGGTGAGGGGGACGAAGGAGATTCATCTGTGACCTTTGACCCAGCTGCCATGTTAGTCATCCTCTCTCTGAAGACGTAATAACGTGGGAACGGAGAACAGTTGAACATTTTGATTCTTGTCTTTAAAGATTCAGAATTTGATTCACACCTTCAGAACATCTATTTGAATACATATAGCTGCTGGTGGACAGAAAGTCCACACACCAAGTCAAAGATATGTCAAGCATCACATGTACTATTGTACTATATTTTATTTTGAAGGTGTGAGTCAGTTGAACTTATTCTTGAGAAATACTCAAGTTAAAAAAACGTTATTCATGGAGGTTTTGCAGATGATAAATGTTCCATTATCATCTGCATCATTATGTCTGTGGAAGAGAGATTAACCCTGAAGTGATTAAATAAAGGTTATTCATTCAAAAAGAACTCCCATGTTGTCCCCTCTGCAGCTTCTTCATCGTGTCTCCCACAGACCAGCAGGTCCACTGTTGGGCCTGGATAAAGAAGCACATGCCCAACGACCCACACCTCCACCTGGAGGACGTCAGCTGGAAGTACACCGGTGAGAACGCACGCACGCACGCACGCACGCACGCACGCACGCACGCACACATCTATTTTAAACATAGTTTTTTTCTACACAATAATCTAGAAATAGTTTTTGATACAGTTATTCTACACACAGTCAAATATATGTCGAACATTATTACAAATGTGTTGAAAATGAACACCAAACATCAGTATTACATGTGTTTTAATATTTTATTTCATTATGAAGGTGAAGATTTGTGATTCTGTTTAACCTATTCTTGAGAATTGAGAAATACTTTATCCATGCAAGTTTGGCAGATGATACATGTTACATAATATATGTGAAAGAGAGATTAACCCTCAATTGCACACACACACACACACACACACACACACACACACACACACACACACACACACACACACACACCATATGAAATGCACCAGAACATCAACTCTCTACACAGTTCTTTGATGACCTGATTTTGGGATTGGTGAAATCTAACACTAGGGGGACCAAGACGTTAATAACATGCCA